GCCCTCAAAGATGGCAGTGCCCGCAGCCAATAAGAAATGAATATGCTAATTGACTGGCACACCCTCAAAGATGGCAGTGCCTGCAGCCAATAAGGAGGAAATATGCTAATTGATTGACAGCCACGCCCTCAAAGATGGCGAAGCCCAGTCCTCTCAGTCCCGCTGGGGCAGCAGGCACGGGGCAAGTCCGGGCCCGGCCACTCTGCGCGCCTGCCTCCAGAGTCCCCCAGTCCCCTAAGCCCCCCAGCCGCCCAGGGCCATCCGAGGGTCAGATAACCAGGGCCAGCCGAGGCTTGCGCTGCTGGCAGTGGCAGCAGCAGAGGTGTGATGGGGCATCACCTTCCCCTGATCACTAGGTCGCCTGCTGCCCCTGAGGGCTCCCAGAATGTGAGAGGGGGCAGGTCGGGCTGAGGGACCCCCCCCCTCCAGTGCATGAATTTTCATGCACCAGGCTTCTAGTAGGTAAATAATGAAATATCAAGTGATTCTAAATTATATGAAGAAAAAGTGTGGTAACAGCATACAGCTTGACCATACCCAGGAAAGGTGCACCAATCATTCTGAGGAGGTGATCTCTGAGGTGAATATGAAAAATAGAGGACTGATCAGCTGCATCCTGCACGCCCCCCCCCCTCCTCCACTGGGGATTGAGCCCACAACCCAGGCATGTGCCCTTGACCAAAATCGAACCCACGACCTTTCAGTCCACAGGCTGATGCTCTATCCACTGAGACAAACCAGCTATAGCAAGTGTTTCTTGTATTACTTTACTCTTTAGGACTAAAGTATTTTAGTATTTTCCATATGATTTATGTCAAACATCTCACTCTCTCTCTCTCTCACTATTAAATACATACAAATATCATATAGCATATAGCATAACATAATACACTTATATGTATAGCGTATGTATATTTGTGGTGTTTACAAAAATTAAGAAAGTAAAGGTATGTGGGAAGCCACCACTTGCCAATACTGTCAATGCACCAAGGAACCTGGAAGGCTGATGGACCTTGGGCATTAGCAGGGCTGATGCTAAGCACAGATTGTTTGTGTTGAGATAGTGGTGGCTCAAGGCAATTCCCTAACCTGATAATCCTTTTACTGTTTACCAAACTTTACCTTTGATATGCCTGTATGCATTGCTAAAGGGCAAATGTGTATTCAAGTGAATAAAAAGCAAACCAGACTGAGAAGCCAGGGTGTCTCTTCAAGAAAGAGGCTCTACCTGGCCCCCAATGCCTTTTAAATTCTTATTTCTTGTATAGCATTTTCATTTGGGTGTTGGACCCTCCTTCAGATCCTGAACACTGCCGGGCAGGTCACGGCAAAGGTAAAATGTTTCAAAGAAGAATAAATAGTCAGCCCTTATATGCTGTGGAGAATCAAGATGAGAACTAAAAAGTGTACAGTGAATTTATGGACCTGAAAGTCAAGTGGCTACCTGAGAAAGGTGGGAAGTGTCATAAAGGTATAGTAAGATTGGAGAGAATTGGAAATAAGGCCATGGAAATATTAATTGGAAAAGTAAACTCTGAGAAGTGTGTGTAGAGTAGCAGAAGAATATAGAAGCATCCGGTGGGGAACATGTGGGTCTAGTCATGGATCGGAGATATCTGCAGTAAACACTGAGAGACTCCAATGAAAAGGATTTTATTGGGAAAACAGAACTGGCAATTAGGAATAAAGAAGACTTGACAGATTAAGGCAAATACTTGAGAATTCAGACATAGAAATTGAACATTGTTAAAAGTATGTGTGCTTCCTCCCACCACAAAAGGTGAAAAGAGGAGAGTGTTAGGTGAAGATTAAGGTAAGCTTTTTAGACTTCTGTGAGGGATAGAACCAGAGGCATGAATACATGGAACAGACTAACAGCTGTCAGAGAGGAGGGCAGTGGGGGACACTGGAGGAAAGAAGGTGAAGGAATTAACCAAAGAACACATATGCATCACCCACAAACAGAGACAATAGTGTGATGTAGGCCAGAGGGAAGGGGGTAGGGGAGCAAGGGCTGGAGAGAGGTGAGAAATGTGGGGGAATATGAAGACATCTGTAATAGTGTCAACAATAAAAATAAAGTTAAATATATAACAAGAACATGGTAGAACTGGCCATATGATTTTGGTTTTCACAATGAATTGAAAGGCAAGATAATCAGCTGTAAGTAAAGCATGAGGGCACCTAGTTGCCTTGTCCTAGTGATTGAGCATCATCCTATGAACCAGGAGGTCACAGTTTGATTCCTGATCAGGTCGGAGCACATGCCCAAGTTGTGGGCTCAATCCCCAGCATGGGTTGTGATTCTCTCTCATCATTGATGTTTCTATCTCTCTCTCCCTCTCCCTTCCTCTCTGAGAGAGAGAGAGAGGACATGCATATAAAAAAAAATTACATATAATTTTTTTTAAAAAAAGAAAACAGGAGGGAAAAGAAGGCAAAGGAAATTTGAAGAGCTTTAAAAACAATAAGTTAATAAAAAATAACTTTCTAAAAAGCAGACTTCTTAAACAATGTCTGGAAGGAACAAATTTTGCCAAAAATTTCTCATTTTACATTTTAGTCCTTTTATGCAAAAATAAAGTGATAAGATTGCTCCAAGGTGGAAGAGAAAATTTTATCCTGAGTGAGCATGAGGTTTGCTGGGAAGATATCTCGATATAAAGGGGCCTCTACTCTGAGCCATAAAGAACAGATAGAACCTGAACATGAGACAATAGAAAAAGCAGTGTTCTTAGCATGAATAGCAAAAAATTAAGGCTTGAAAGTAAAAAAGATGTCTCACTGTGTCATATTCACTGTGGGTAGGAGATGTTGTGTTTGCTCTTCTTTTTCTATCTTCTCCAATTGTATGTGTGTGTGTGTGTGTGTGTGTGTTTATGTGTATAAGTGTATGTATGAAAACACTCATAGGTTCTAAAGGTAAAAATGATTATATATTACAGGGTGGAGCAAACGTGAATTTACAGTTGTGAGTATGCAACACACAGTTTATTCTTGTATTATTAATTATTATATTATTTTTCATATGAACAACTGTAAACCTACTTTAGTCTCACCCAGTGTGCGTGCATGTGTGTGTGTGTGTGTGTGCACGCGCGCACACACACACACGCGCGTACATATGTTTTGTTCATCTGAGATTCACTTCAAAATTTGGAAAGTTAGAACCTTAGGGAATTGGAGCACTTTGCTATAGTTGCCTGCTGCATGTGCCTAAGGGCAACACACACTTTTTAAGAGAGCAGAAACTACACAATGTCAATGGTTTTTTAAAGTTTTTCCTCAGCTCACCTTCAGACCAGAATCTCTTTTAGAAGTAGGGCTGTCTTTATAGTTATTTCAGTACAATGTTCATAGTTGAAACATTAAAATGGGTTGTATCAAACGCACACATAATTTAAAGTAGGGTTAAAGGAAAAGTATTCCATTGTTACAGTTTTTCAGTCTCATGAATAAAAAGGTAGAGTTATTTTTAAATCTAACAAATTACTTCTCATTACATTTATTTTTGTTCCCGACTTCCTTATCCTGTAAAATACTCTTATTTATATGTCCTTAGCCAAAACCTCAATATAAATTACTTATTTTCAAACATATTTGTTGAACAATCATTAAATCTGGACAGATATTATATGTTTTATCTCTTTTGTAAGTTACATACTTCCTCTTTTTGAAAATAATTAGCAAGGTCGATAGTAAATATATATATACTGAAATAATCAAATGGATATGAATATTTATTAGTGACCTATCAGACTGTCATTGTGAGTTGCTTATACCTTTGAAGCTGGGAATACTCTTCTGGGTAAATCCCTAAATATATTTATGTTCAAGTCTCATAGATAGATATAGATTTAGATATAGATAGATATAGATATAGATATAGATATAGATATAGATATAGATATAGATATAGATATAGATATAGATATAGATATAGATATAGATAGATATAGAACACAAATATTTAATTACTCATGTGATTGAGTTACTGAAAAGAAGAAAAACTAATGACATGTTTACTTTAAAAACTTTACTTTAAAAAATAGATTTAGCTTTAAGTGAAGCTGATTAGTTGCAAAGTATTTTGATATTCACATCACTGATTTCTGAACAAATGCTTATGAAGAAAATGAAGCTATATAAATGCAACTAAAAATGATAAGTTTCTATAAGAATTACAGTGCTGTAATGTGTAATTCTGCCATTACCTAAAATTAATTTTATATAAGTCAAATATTTGTATATAGTCACATGTGTGTATAAATATTTTCTTGCTATTTTAGACATACATAAATTTAGGTAGAGTGTATAACAGGTAGAGATTTTTGTAGTAATATTTAAGCACATTACAGGTTGAAGGAATTTATGCAAAAAACAAAAGCTCATATTTTGAATACGTGTGCACTGTTACATTACTTAGAGCTAAAGTGACAAAAGCCATATGAAGACAAACTCACCCAGAATTATTATTTCCAGATTTTCTCTTTTCCAATTTTTAGAATAAAAAAGAGTTTAGAGTAGTCAAAAACATCTACAAGTAAACCCAATGGCAAAAATAGGTTGGATTCTTGAAGCTCTATGGAGACGAGCTACTGGGCAGTGATGACACCATTGGTCGGGGGAAAACTCAAACATATGGACTCACTCTCAGCCATGGATCAGAGTACTGACTTTTTTCCCTGCGTTTTGACCAGGAATTCTACAGTATAAAATATAAAATAACACCACGTTTCATTCAACAGAAGTGCAGTTTAAGACTCCCCTACCTCCCATACAAATTTAATATGTGCAATATGACTTACTGCTTCACTTTTATTTTTCTATATAACACACACCCAAAAGCATTATGAAAAAAATAGTTCAAAAGAAAAGAAAACAGTTTATGACTTGTAACATAGAACAGCTTCTCTGCTCCCTGACCACATTATGGTTTAAAAGGATTTTTTTTTTTATCAAACTCTCACCATTGCAAAGAAAAAGAAAGCTTCGCTTACCAGAGAGGAATAAAGCTTCAACCTTGCTCTAACGTTTTCTGCAGCTCTTGTTTGAAAAGGGAGAACCAAAGCAGCTTTGTGCATACAACTGATCTGGCTGATCTCCAGTCCCTGCACAAAAAAAACAGTATAATTGGCTCTCAAAAAAGTGTTGTAAACATTCATCATGATGGCCCTTGCATGTTGAATCTAGTTACTGTTACCCTAGTAGACTTTTCCAAACACACCAATTTCACATTTCTACTTTCATTGCTTACTGTTTGTTTGCTTTTTCTATTTAATGCTGAAATTAATATTGTTAAAAAATATTTCTGAGTTCCAGCTTTACTACTATGTCTAACTCTTGGGTTCTGAAAGTATGATTCAAGACAAAAACAAAAAACAACAACAACAAAAACATTTTAAATCAAGACAACATTGATAAATACATTTACTTGACATCTATATATCTTTATTTTTAAATTTAACAATATTTAGTCCATTACTTATAGGATAACAATTATCAGGATTAATTCTCTTTTATCCACTATTTGATAAAAGTCAAGTGAACATTGCACATCTCCGTGCAGAAGCCACATCAATAATGCCTACACATACCCTAGAGTCTGAGACCAACTGTGCCGGATTTCTTAGTCTCGTTAAATATTCCACTGTTCCCTTGCCCAAACCTTCAAAAGGGTTCAAACACAATCACATCTTTTAATTTTTATGGGAGCAATGAAAGGGTCACATAGCCTGTGCTTTTTTCTTATTTTTAAACATTCCATTTTTATGGGAGCAGTAACTGATTTTAACTACGAGTGGCATATTCCTGTTACCAAGAATATGTGAACACTAGATCAAAAAATAAGCCTCAGTGAAAAACAGTCTCAAATTGTATAAAGTCTTATAATGATCTGAGCAGTACATCTATCTTAGAACTACATGTTGCCTTTTTCCCTATGTGTATAAAGCCTGATGAGCAGTTATCAGCAGTGATACTGTTTGAAAAATATTCAATGCATGGAAGTTTCTGTGTGTGTGTGTGTGTGTGTGTGTGTGTGTTTCATTTTAATCTGATATTTATTTTTTCATTATACAAATTAAACAAGTATAATAAAATAATTTATGACTATACAAATTATGGTTCTATAAATCTTGAAAATTGCAAATTATGACAACTTATGAGATATGTCTCCTGGAAGAAGTATACATTTAGATATTTGACAAGTGTAAAACTTCTCTATACTACTGAACCTTTTAAAGAAATATTTTAATTACATTAAAATAACCTAGAACCACCTGGCTGGCGTGGCTTAGTAGTTGAGCATCAACCTATGAACCAGGAGGTCAGGCTTTGATTCCTGCCAGTGCATATGCCCTGGAAGCGGGCTAGATCCCCAGTGTGGGATGTGCAGGAGGCAGCCAATCAATGATTCTCTTTCATCATTGATGTTTCTATCTTTCCCTGTCCCTTCTTCTCAGAAATCAATACAAATATATTTTTGAAAAAATAACCTATAACCTTGAATACTGAACATTCCATGTTTATATTTGTGGATCTCAGTCACATTTAAAGATTTTGATTGTATTTGAGAATACTATAGACAGATATATATATACACACACATACACTAGAGGCACGGGGCATAAAAATTCATGCACTGGAGGGGGGGTCCCTCAGCCTGGCCTGCCCCCTCTCATAGTCTGGGAGCCCTCAGGGGCGGGAGACGACCTGGTGATCAGGGGAAGGCAATGCCCCATCACACCTCTGCTGCTGCCACTGCCGGCAGCGCAAGCCCTGCCAGTCCTGGTTACCTGAGCCTGGGGCAGCCCTGGGCAGCTGGGCAGCCGCAATCTGAGGCTTGCCTGTGCCTCAGGCTGGCCCTGGGCAGCTGGAGGGATGAGGGGACTGGAGGACTCTGGAGGCAGGCACATGGCAAGGCCAGGCTGAGGGGAATGGGCACCGCCATCTTGTGGCTGCAGGCCCTGCCATCTTTGAGGGTGGGGCAGTCAATTAGCATATTCCCTTCTTACTGGCTGTGGGTGCCACCATCTTTGCAATGATGTAAGGGTCAATTAGCATATGTCCTCTTTATTAGAGAGGAGATATATATATATATATATATATATATTTCTTCTAAGGACACAGAAAACTAATCTGGTTATATTATTAGAGAGGCAGGGTGCAGAGAAAGAATCCCTACATACTCTTTTTCAAAGACAGTGTCAGTTAAATATTATCTCCCTGTTGTATAACATGTGTCTTCCTAAAATTTTCCACTAAGACGTTCTTATTTACCTCTTTTATCAGAGTAGTGAAGAGGGTATTATTGCTCTCCATTTTACAAATGAGGAAACTAAGGCTCAGAAAGAATAAGTGATTTAACAAATTACAACAGTAAATTCTTAACTGTAGGGCCTTTGGTGTTCTACTGTGTCCTGAAACCATTTCCACTAAAATAATACACCTAATATTTTTAAAGAGTTTTTTTTCTATTTAGCTTCCTGATTTGAATTTGGAGTAAATGTTTAGAGAACTTTTTATGTATTTGCTGCTGCAGTAGATTAAGAAAACAAAAAGTGTCTTTCTAGGCCTAATGATTTTAGAAATAATTTGCAAATGAACTTTGAAAATATAATTATTTATGATTTTATTTTGAATACTTTTCATATTTAAGAATTGCCTATTAAGTATCTGTTACATGAGAGAACGTTTGTTAAGTTTTGGGATATTTAGTGAACAAGATAAGTATCTTCCTTTTCTGTATGTTATTTTTAATCTTACTAATTACAATAAATAAGATTGCCTAAAGTTTTCTTCTCTGAGCAAATAGTAGGCACTTACAGGAGCTTCTAACTCTCCCAAGCCTCTCCATTACCTACCAAACTTCACCCATGTGCCCTTTTACATATTCAAGAAACTTCTCATGCTGATTCCCCTCATCCCATCAGTTACTCCTTCTGCACTGAATCATTCTCATCAGTTAAAAATCTTGCTTTAATATGTCCCTGTTTAAAAAATAATTGCCACCACCACATTTTTTCTTTTGTCACCATATTTCTTCATAGGAACATATCAAAAGTTTTACTTTCTCACTTTCCAATTCCTTCTCGATTAACACTTACAGAGCTTCCATACCCATCAAGCCATTAAAATAAATCTCATCTTCCCTTATCTCTCAATAGTGTCTGAACTCAAATGAGTAATTTCTTCCTATAACATTGTTTTCTCTTGGCGTTGGTGTTGTCACTTTCTTATGATGTTTCCCATAACTTGCAAGTCTTTCAATCCCGGGTTCATTTGCTGGCTCCTGCTCCTGTGCCTGAATAATATATTTAAAATACTCCTTGACTTGTCGTGAAGTCCTTTCTCTTCTCAATGGACACTTTCCCTTTAGGTATTCCCTTCAGATCCATGGTATTGTATATTATTGATACCCTTTTGACTACCAAATTAACATCTGCAGTCTGACCTCTGGTGATTCTCTATCTGTTTACTGATCTCAATTCTTGACTCTCTAACAGGGATTTTAAAATTCAAACATGACTAAAAGAGAACAATTGATTCTGCCAGGTCCTCACAAATATCACCTTTTCCCAGTCTTCCTTATTTTAGTAAAATTCATCAATTGTCTGAGCTAAAAAAACAAACAAACAAAAAACAAACAAACAAAAAAAACACAACAAAGATTTTTATTTTATTTTATTTTTGTGTTAAAATGCATAACAAAATTTGTCATCTCAACCATTTGTAAGTGTACAGTTATGTAGTGTAAGTATATTCACATTATATTCAGAACATATTCATCTTGCAAAACTGAAAATCTGTACCAATTACACAACTCCTTTATAACAATGACTGTTGATATGTGCATTTATACAGATGAATCTCCATGGAATTATGCTGAGTAAGAGAAGCTAAACAAAACAAGTGTGTACTGTACGATTTCATTCAAAAGAAGTTCTAAAAGTGCAAACTAATTTTTAGTGACAGAAAACAGATCAGTTGCTACCTGGAGACTAGAAAAGAGTAGAACTTGGTGAGGAATAGCAAGGGTAATAAGAAAAGTTGTGGGTAACAGATAAGTTCATTATCTTGATTGTCTTTATGGCTTTATGAATGTATACATATGTCAAATCTAATAAAACTGCACACTTTATTTTTTTAATTAAATCTTTATTGTTCAGATTATTACAGTTGTTCCTCTTTTCCCCCCCATAGCTCCCCTCCACCTGGTTCCCAACCCACCCTCTGCCCTTGCCTCCCCCCACTGTCCTCATCCATAGGTTTACGATTATTTTCCAGTCTCTTCCCGCACTCCCCACACCCCATACCCCTGAGAATTGTCAGTCCACTCCCTTTCTATGCCCCTGATTCTATTATATTCACCAGTTTATTCTGTTCATCAGATTATTTATTCACTTGATTTTTAGATTCACTTGTTGATAGATATGTATTTGTTGTTCATAATTTGTATCTTTACTTTTTTCTTCTTCTTCCTCTTCTTAAAGGATACCTTTCAGCATTTCATATAATACTGGTTTGGTGGTGATGAACTCCTTTAGCTTTTTCTTATCTGTGAAGCTCTTTATCTGACCTTCAATTCTGAATGATAGCTTTGCTGGGTAAAGTAATCTTGGTTGTAGGTTCTTGCTATTCATCACTTTGAATATTTCTTGCCACTCCCTTCTGGCCTGCATAGTTTCTATTGAGAAATCAGCTGACAATCTTATGGGTACTCCCTTGTAGGTAACTGACTATTTTTCTCTTGCTGCTTTTAAGGTTCTCTCTTTGATTTTGCTCTTGGCATTTTAATTATGATGTGTCTTGGTGTGGTCCTCTTTGGATTCCTCTTATTTGGGGTTTTCCCCGCTTCCTGGACTTGTAAGTCTATTTCTTTCACCAGGTAGGGAAAGTTTTTTGTCATTATTTCTTCAAATAGGTTTTCAATATCTTGCTCTCTCTCTTCTTCTGGCACCCCCATAATTCAGATGTTCGTATGCTTGAAGTTGTCCCAGAGGCTCCTTACACTATCTTCATATTTTTTTATTCTTTTTTCTTTTTTCTTTTCTGGTTGGTTGTTATTTGCTTCTTCGTATTTCAAATCTTTGACTTGATTCTTGGGATC